CATGCTGGAAAACGCCCTTCAAGAACGACCTCCCCCACAGAGACCTCACAATCCTTCTCCCTGTTCTCGTTCTCCCCATCAGAAACATCGACGGAACGAGTCTTGAAGCATTTCTCCAATCAAGGAACGATCAAAATTGGAGAAACCAGGGCAAGAAATCACAAAGAAACAACATTGTACCTCTCCCCGAAGGATAATACATTCTTCATTTCCCAAGACCAGAGTCAGAGAAACCTCGTAAACGTCCAAGTCGGCGTAAACATTCTCCTCAACATAGCAGAAGCCATCGTCGTAGCTATCCCCCATACAGATCGTCGAGCACTAGTGAGGAAGATGATGTGCATGGGCCTCTATCCGAGGAAATCGTGGACACCCGTATCCCTCATGAGCTGGAGAAGCCTCCTCCTCTGGCTCTCTACGATGGCACTACGGATCCTGGAAACCATATAGAGAGCATTGAAGCCATGCTTTATTATAACAACATAGGCGGAGCAATCAAGTACAAATTGTTCCCCATCACCCTTAGAAAGGGAGCTATACCCTAGTACAAAAATCTTCCCTGGGGCTCGATCACATCATGGAGGAACCTAAAAAATCAGTTTGCCCGACATTTCACTGCCTCCAGGCGTCATCCCAAGTCGGAAGCCATGCTCAAAGGCATAATTCAGGGCAAGGATGAGCCCATTCGTGCCTACATCAAGAGGTTTAACAAGGAAGCAGTCGAGATCCACACGACCGACCACATGAAGAAGTACCTCCTCGAAAAGGGGTTAAGGCCAAATAGTGATTTCCGCAAAGCAGTAGGGATAAAAACACCTCATTCTCTGGCCGAACTCCTCCACAAGGCCCAAGCTTACATCCAATATGAAGAAAAAGAAGTTGCTTACAAAGCCTGGGATTCAAGGAACCAAGAGAATTCCAAGGCGCCAAAAAAGGATGAGGTAGAAGCTCTCCTGCGCAACAAAGAAAAATGACGAGATGACCGTCCCCATGAACATAAAGAACCTGTTGGTCGCTTTGCTGAGTATACCTTGCTGACAGCTCCTGCAAGCACCTCATCAAATACCTGATGTTAGTAAAAGAGAAGATAGCTAAGTTCGACGTATGGGAAGTCCAGCATGTCCCCCGTGAACGAAACACTTGGGCAGATGTCTTGTCAAATTGGCCAGCACTAAGAGAAAAGATGGTAATAAGTTTGTCATACAAGAGATACTTCCTCGCCCAAGTATCGAAAAACTAACAGGGTTGCTCGACGTAAACGCTATTGGCAACAACAACTGCTGGATGACCTCCGTATACAACTACCTCACAATATGGGTGCTTCCCGAAGACAACAAAAAAGCCAGCGCAACTAAACAAAGGGCATGTTCCTACGTCCTAGTGGAAGACAAGCTCTACCGACGAGGATTCTCCATCCCCCTCCTAAAATGTGTTGAGGAGGACAAGGTCCCTGATTTTCTCCAAGAAATTCATGACGGAATTAATGCACAACACTTAAGAGGAAGATCCTTGGCACGAAAAGCTTTGCGAGCAGGGTACTATTGATCGACTATGCAGCATGGTGCAAAGGAGCATGTCAAAAAATGTGACAGATGTCAACGCCACGGGGACATGCACTTAGCACCCCCCAACGAACTAAAGACTTTGTCCTCCCCGTGGCCCTTCGCTTGGAGGGGGATGGGCATCCTCGGCCCCTTCACGATGGGGTCCTATCAGAATAATTTTTTTACTGTGGTTGTCGATTACTTCACAAAATGGATTGAGGCCGAAGCCCTCGCCAAGATCACAACATTCAACATACTCCATTTTTACAAAAGAAACGTCCTCACACGATTCGATGTGCCCTTGGCCCTTGTGACCGACAACGAGACCTAGTTCACGGACAGGAAGTTTCAAGAATTTGTCGCCAAACTAGGCACTAAGCAACACTTCACATCTGTCGAACATCCTCATACTAACGGGCAAGCAGAGGCCGCAAACATGGTAATCCTTCAAGGTCTAAAACGAAGATTAGGCGAGGCCAAAAAGAGATGGGTCGAGGAGCTACATAGCATGCTCTGGGCCTATAAAACAACTTCATACTCAACCACCAGGGAGACTCTCTTCCGACTAGCATATGGAACCGAGACAGTAATCCCGGTGGAAATTAGAGAACCCTCTGGACAAACAGAGGCTTCTCTCGACGAGGAACTGAATGACGAAGCATTAAGAGAAGAACTCAATCTAGTCGAAGAAATCCGATCAGGGGCAGCTCTCCGTGAAGCTTCACTAAGACAAAAAATAACACTGCGCCACGACGTCAGAGTCATAAAGCGCGAATTCCAAGTGGGCAGCCTGGTCCTACGCATAAATCAAAAAGATTCACGCGAGGGCAAGCTGGCCGCAAATTGGGAAGGCCCTTACCGGGTAAAATCAAAAACGGGCACCGGGACATACTACTTCGAACATCTAAATGGAGAACCATTTGCTCGATCATGAAATGCTGAAAAGCTCAAACAATATTACAGTTAGTACCATCAATCAATTAGGACTAACTGTCGACGAACTCACCCCACAACAGTGAGATTGCCCAACCAAGGGAGTGTGCCCTGGTGTAAGCACAATCCTCAAATTTACAACGAAGGCAAGTTTCTGCTCATGGAACGAGCAGACTCTGTGCCCAACAGGGATACCTCAATCGAGCTCCGCCGTTGTCATACCAGCGTGGCAGGACACCCAGCTTGCGATGAGAATAGTCCAAGCCCTATGGGATCAGAACCTCAACCGAGATCCTAGTCCCGCAACTGGCGGAAACTACTTTCTCCTCCTCGATAAGTTCCCTAAACAGACGAGTGTTATAACAAGTCGAGCAAATTCCTAGTGAATATAATTTGTGAAACTTAATACTTCGGACTGATAGAAAGCATATACATCTACAAAGATAAAACGCACAAGCAAGGCATACAATGTCAAACATAAATATTATATAAATCTGACCACCAGGCCGGAAATTGTCAAAATATTACATAACATGGGTCTAGCCCAACCATCAAAATATTACAACAAGTTCCCTCTAACTCCATTCGAGCACATCCTCCTCGACAAGACACGCATGATATTATTCGAGTACAACCTCATCGACAAGACATTTCCTTGCCTTAAGCGCAAGGCTGGTCGACGTAAAATGTCCCTTCCACGAGCATGTCCCTGCATCCCAAATAACCTTTGAAGTTACTAATAATCAATCGTCGATAACACTAGTCATAGACATTCGAAGGGTATGCCCCCTAGGATTTTCGTCCAAAAACAACGATCTCAAAGGCATCCCCGCGACGCAACTCCTGCCCATCGGTCGACCAGCGAAGATAACTAAAAGTCATTGCTCCTCACCTAAGAACAACAACTTGGGGGCTCCTATTCTGGATTGGACTGGCAAGTGGCCCATAGTTGGGCAAGGCCCAATCAAGTCCAGCTTCAGACAAGGCCCAACAAGGAGATTAGCACAATCTACCGTTGGACACAAAATGACCATTGGGCATAATATAGTTGTTGGGGAGAATATAATTGTTAGAGCATTATAGTCGTTGGGGACCTTCCCTTCACGCGCTCCACAGTTCACGCGACCAACTGTCCCTCCGAAGTTCACGGGGACAGTTGGACCCGGTCGAAGATCACGCGCTAGAATCTTTCTTGCTCCTCACAAACCTAGCAGTCTCTCATTGGTGGACCAGATATCCTGGCCCACAATGAGGACCTTGGCCCCGCGCTGGGGTTTCTTATAAATACTCTCTCATTTAAGAGAATTAGGTATCCAATTCATTCTAACACAAACCTAAATGCTTTGTACTTGCTCTTTCTCCCTTTATGATTCTTACTTTAGCATCGGAGTGTCTTGCAGGTACACCTCTCTTCTCCTACAACCATTGTTGTCGCCCTACGTTGAAGGTCAAGACGATCTATTCTGATCATATCAGATCAACCCTCATTTTTATTATAATGGTAATTTGTCCATAATAAATATTATATGTTAACTTTTTACCTTATTATAATTTCTACATTTTTTTTACGACAACTCTATTATTTTTATTATTATGATTTAACTTTCTTTTATTTTATTTTATTCACTTTTATTTATTATTTTATTTGTAATAACTTAATTTGTTTATAAATTGTTGTGTTGTATTATGTATTGATATATAATTGTAGTATATGAGTTATATATATTATTTAGAATTTACTTTCATAAATATTTTACAGAATTAGATGAATCATCAAGGTGATAAAATTTTTTAAGTAAGATGGATCATATAATGATTCTATGACATTTATTAATATTTTATTTACTTATATTTTAGAGTATTTGAAATATTAAATATTTTGTGTTTGATTACCTATGTTTATGAATTAACAAAATTCTTTTTTTGATGAATATCATTTTGTTTTTATTTTATTTAGCAAGAATGTTATAAAATTTTAAGAGTAAAAAAATAAAACATTTTTAAAACTCATCTTATCCCCTTTTAAACCAAATATATTTTTAATTAAAACTTTTCTATATCCTTCTCAGTCTCTCTTTTGAACAAAACATACGTCTAATTAAAATACTTCATTTTTCCTTCTTTTTATTAAAATCTTTTCTTTTATCTCCGTTAAATCAAATATATAGTTAATTAAAATACATCTCTTTACCTCCCCTCCTTTTTAGGATTGATTCAGATTGATGAAAAGAGATAAATGAAATAGAATAGAGTGGTATAGTATTATGTTCCATGTTTGATTTAAAAAATAAATAAATGGAATGGAGTGGTGTAGTATTATATTTCATTCCGTTAGTTTTAAATTATTCAAACAAATTTGGTTAAAAATGAACATAATTATATTAAATTGTGTTAAAACAATTAATTAAAAAATTATCAATTCCATAATTGTTTTTTTTTTTTTCAAACTCTAACATGAGTTCATTTACTCCCTAATATGTATGAAAAAGAGAGAACGAAAAAACCATTCGCGGGAGTTTTTCAATGGACGTCCCTTCCACTTCGTCTTCTTCCCACTGCAATTCCAACGATTCCCTTCCTCTCTACACTGATCCTTCCACCACCTGTCTCACAAAACGACGCAATAACAAGCCCATGGTATCCCCACAGGAAACGACGTCGTCTCATACATCACCCAATTTCAAGCGGTTGGCATGCAAACGCAGAGTCGTTAGAGTCTCCATTCGCCGTAAAAGGACCGATTTAGCTTCCATCGGATTCCCTCTCGGAATGTCATTTGCCGCTGTTATGGCTGAGGTTCCATTTTTTTTCTTCTCTTTTTTCAATTTTCCTTTTTAAATTGCATTGCTGTTGACGACATTGCTAAATTTTATATGTGATTATTGTTAAGGTTCTGTATAGAAGAAATGCAGCATTTGATACCGATAGGGTTTCTCCAACTCATATAACATTGGTATGCTACTTTTATTTCTCTGTATCGCCGGCACCTCTAAAAAAAGAGGTGTGTCTGTGTGGCTGACGCATTACTTGACACGATACTGATACTGATCTTTGTGATTCCATTCACTTTATTTATTTTTTCAAACTATTACCGGTGTCGACATGTCCGTGTCTGTGTATATGTTTCATATGTACTAATTTGAATAATGAAATATTGAAATCTTATTCTGATTTATTCACTTATTGAGGATATGTTCATTTTCAATGTAGATTTGCACTTCAGCTATCAAAGAATCTCTTGCCAGTGTAAGCAAGACTTCAATTGCTGAATCATCTCTTGATTGCAGTTTTACTGAATTTTTCTCTATCTAGAAGTTCATGTGAACGTGTAGGCTGTAGCGAAATTCAATTGGCTATTCACTTGTTTTTTTGACTGCCTATTTGGTTGCAGGTTTTTGGAGACAAGCTAGATGATCTGGTTAGGAACTTTGGACAATCTTTTGCTTGTACGTTGAGTACTCTCGGATCGATTTATGAATCATCTATGGGTGATGAAGGAAATAGTTTGAATACTATGAAAATGGAATTTTCGACTTGTAAATTGACTCGTGACAAAGGTGATTGCTCAAGCGATTCTGTTATTGGTGATGATAAAACGGAGGGAGTGTTGAGTGAAGAAATCGTAGATCAAACAAATAATTGCAAAGAGGTCGAGGAGAACTTTCAAATGGATTCAATCAGTCGTCATGGTATTACTTTGCACAGGCAATCAAACCAATTGGTTTGTTTGCCTACAATCTCTTATGGATCTGGAATTAATAATAACTCTATGGTTAGTGCTTATGAGAAATCTGTTATGGAAGAAAGTCGATCAAATGACCTCAAGGCGTTAGAACTTGCCCTTACAATGAAAAAACTGAAACTAAAAGAGACGCAGTTGGCTCTCAACTCTGATTTGAATCATCTAGAGAGATCAAAGTTGACCATGGGAGTGTCAAAGGCGTCTTTTAGAGTTGAAAAGTTTAAGAATCAATTAGAAGATTTGAGACATGGTGAACTGATTCAAAACTGCATAGACTGTCTTATTGCTGGTCTTCTTGTCATGTCCTCCTCACTTACATATGGTGCTTATGTTTATTCCTATGAACGGATTGCTGAATCAACTACATCATGCAATCATTCAAATAAGGCAAGTATATAATATTTTTCCGCTGATTATGTTGTTATTTTAGTGCTTTCTAAAGTCATGTGTAAGTATATAATACATTTGATACCCTGGCCCCATTTTGATAGTATGACATTAATTCCAGCTGCATATTGATCCAACACTGCCTTATTTGGAAAATGTTAGTGATGCCCTTTTCTATTTTAGGAATCCAAGTCGTGGTGGAGTCCGAAATCAATGTTCTCTTTGGATTCAAAGTTACACATTTTATGGTGTCAAGTTCAAGTTATGAGCCGAATGGCATTTGGCGTCTTAATGATTTTTGCAATTGCATATTTGCTAATCATGAGATCAACATCGGTATCAGACACAATGCCAGTGACTTTCATTCTTTTGCTATTAGGAGTTGCTTGTGGCTACTGTGGCAAAGTTTGTATAGATACCTTGGGAGGGAGTGGTTCTTTGTGGCTCTTATATTGGGAGATTCTGTGCATGGTGCACTTCTTATCAATTGTTTTCCCTCCCACTTTGTTCAAGATCCTTCATGGACCAGTTGCTGCATCGCAACAAACAAAGCAAAATATAATTTTTCCATATTGGTTTCGCCGATTTTGGTTCTATGGAACTTTGACTGTGTTTCTACAATTATTTTGTGGTCTTAAGCCTTTTGCTGGTGTTAGTCAATGGAAAGACCATTTTTTGATGAAGGTGTCAATATTTAACAAATTGGAATGAAAGGTAGTTGTTTGGTCTTGGGCTACTTTGCTTGTGATTAGCTAAGGCATTAATGAAGCAAAAACTGTATGAATTGCATTTATTCAGGTGCCATTTTGTTTAGTTTATTATAGAAAGGCTATTTTGAAAATCAAACAGCATCATGTGATCTTTAACCAATTAGTTGGATAGTGATGATATTTGTTAGTTTGAACTGTATAATTTCTCAAATGGCATAATGAGTTTGTAAAATAATTGCTTTGTTTGTGCCAAATCCTAAAAGATCTCATGTGAAATTTACCTTTGCCAGAAACACTACAGTTTCTTATGAAATGAAAGCATGGCAAGGACTCCTTGCATTGTCATTTACCCGCCAAAACATAGTAGTCAATTTTACTCAAATTCCAAAGTGAAAAGCAAAAGAAACTTTCTACAACTAGTTTGCGAGGAAAACATACAATAAGAGTGCCTTGAGATTCTTCTTTATTGGAAAAGCATAAGAAACTTACTATCACTAGCTTTTGAGGCAACCTTACAAAAGGATCTCTTGAGATTCTTCTTCATTGGAAGATCCGACAATAAAAATTGTGTCGATAAAATGTGACATCTCAATCGACCGAGTTGTTGATCGCATTTGACTATATAATCTAAAATAGGTGAAGAGATTTAGAAAACTAAAATAAATGTAGAAGATTTAAAAAAGGTTTAGACATATTGAAATTAATTTGAGCTATATCCCTGTTAATTAGGAAATAATCTTTGCAGTTATTGTGAATAATTTACATTCATAGAATAGGAAATTAGTCATTATGAATTGTAATTAGTTATTATCCGTTGTAATTAGTTATTATGAGTTGTAATTACCGACACTATTATATATAGTATGAAAGGCAATGAGAAAGGCATCAAGCCAAATTTCATGACATGGTATCAGTAGGTTCGATCAAACCTGGAAAATATTATTATATTGGCTGATCAGCGATACCCCACTGGTTCGCTCTCGTAATCGTGTTCGTTTCGAAATTCTTTCGTTTGAAATCGAAACCTTGCAGTTGTCTGAGATTCTAAATCTTTGGTTGCCGGTTCGTGATTTCGTCTTGGAGATTCTCGTTGTTGCGCTGATATTGCAATCAATTTTTTTTTGGTTCTTGGCTGTTGTTGCTTCGTGATTCTGGATCGTCATAATCTTCTGTTTTGCCGCTCCTTCCAAATCGTGGATTTGATCGTGCCGTTGTTCGTTGGTTCGTGGGTATTGTTTCTTGTTGCTGCTCTAGTAACTGTGATTACTGTTATTATATTATAATTATTATTATTATTATTATTATAATTATTATTATAATAATAATAAAATAATATTAGTGAGATTGTATCTGGTGGTTTAATAATTTAGATGGCTTCCGAAAAAGAAAGAGATAATTTTTGTGTTCGTTTTACCGGCAAGAATTATTCGGCATGGGAATTTCAGTTCAAGATGTATGTTAAAGGAAAGGGATTATGGAGTCACTTAGATGATGTTTCTAAGGCACCAACGGAGAAAACTGCTTTAGATGCGTGGGAAACTAAAGATGCTCAAATTATCACTTGGATTCTAAACAGTATTGATCCTCAGATGATAAATAATTTGCGTTCTTTTTCAACTGCTCAAGAAATGTGAAATTATCTGAAGCGCATTTACAACCAGGACAATTCGGCAAAGCGTTTTCAGTTGGAGTTAGACATCGCCAACTACAAACAAGGTGATTTGTCTATTCAAGAATACTATTCTGGTTTTTTGAATCTTTGGGCAGAACACTCTACTATTATACATGCTAATGTTCCCAAGACCTCTCTTGCGGTTGTTCAAGAGGTATACAACACAAGTAGGCGAGATCAATTCCTCATGAAGCTTTGTCTAGAATTTGAGGTTGTCAGAGGTGCTTTGCTAAATAGGAATCCTGTTCCTTCTTTGGATACATGTGTTGGTGAACTTCTCAGGGAGGAACTATTAGTAATAATTCATATTTTATTATATTACTTTCTTAAGCCCATAAGTTTGTTAGAGGGTATTTTAGTATTTATCTTATTCTAGTAACCCTAGTTTTAGCTTATAAATAGGGTGACAATCATTGTAACTTTTAATCCTGTTTTTCTGCCGTCATTCTTAATAGAATATTTCTACCTTTCATCATTTATTCTACCTTTGCACCAACAATTGGTATCTAGAGCTCCGGTTCAGATTCATTGGGAAACACGGGAAACACGAGTGAACGTGAGGTCTTGTGTGTTTGATTTTGATTCTTAGATTCTTGTTGAATCTTGAACAAAATCTGATCAGAATTTTTTAATTCTGTGGGTTGGGAAACACTGTGTGAGAAAACTCTGAGTGTATTGTGCAAAGTAGAAGATGAACGGAAACGGCAACATGAACACCAAACTTCCAGTATTTGATGGTAAAAACTGGAATCGTTGGATGATCCAAATGCGTGTACTATTTGGTGCTCAAGATGTTCTAGATCTTGTCACTGATGGTTATGTTCCAGTAGCAGCAGATGCAACTGATGAACAGAAAAACGCGCAGAAGGAAGTAAGAAAGAAGGATCATAAAGCATTGTTCTTCATTCATCAATGTGTGGATGTAAACGTGTTTGAGAAGATTGCAGACTCTACAACAGTAAAGGTTGCATGGGACACTCTGGTGAGATGTTATGGTGGTGACGCATCAGTGAAGAAGGTGAAGCTTCAGTCCTTGAGAAAGCAATATGAGAATCTCAACATGAAGAATAATGAGAAAGTTTCTGAATACATCTCCAGAGTGATTCTGATCACTAATGAGATGAAGGCATGTGGAGAAACTCTTTCTGAAGAAACAATCATGGAGAAAGTATTGAGATCCCTTACCTCTCAATTTGATTACATTGTGGTAGCAATAGAACATTCCAAAGATCTGAGTACCATGAGAATTGAAGAGCTGCAGAGCAGTTTAGAAGCGCAAGAGTTGCGTTTGACTGAAAGAACTTCTGAAAGGGAAGTAGAGCAGCAGGCTCTGAAAGCAACGTCTGATAGGAGGTATCAGAAGCAGTCAGAAGCCAGGAGAAGATCTGATGGTGGTCAGAAGTCAGAAAGCTCAACCTCTGATAGACAAAAGAATGCTCAAAAGGGAAAAGAGAAGTATGACAAGAAGAAGATCCAATGTTACTGTTGTAAGAAGTTTGGTCACTTTGCTAGAGATTGTTGGTCAAACAAGGAGAAGAAATCAGAAGAAGCAAATATAGCCAGAAGTTCTGATGACGAATCTGTGCTATTGATGGCCTCTGAATCTGATGATCTGACAGACTGGTGGTATATGGACACTGGCTGTTCAAATCATCTTACTGGAAACAAGAAATGGTTGGTTGACTTTGACTCTGAAAAGAGAACAAAGATCAGATGTGCTGATGACAAATATCTTAATGCAGAAGGTATGGGAAATGTCAGAGTGACTCTGAACAATGGGAAAACAACATTGATTCAGAACGTGTGGTATGTACCTGGCATCAGAAGCAATCTGATGAGTGTGGGACAATTAATTGAGAAAGGTTTTTCAGTTACCATGAAGGATAATCTTCTGAAGTTGTATGACTGCAATCAGAAGTTGATTATGGAGTCAGAACAGGGAAGGAATAGAATATTCAAGGTGAATGTCAGAACTGCAGACTCAGAATGTCTTAGTGCAACATGTGCTGAGAAGGAGAGTGAGTTGTGGCATAGAAGATTTGGTCATTTGAATTTCAGAAGCCTAAAACATCTGAATTCAAAGAAGCTGGTACATGGAATTCCTGCAATTAAGAAGCCTGAAAATTCATGCAAAGTTTGCATGGAAGGAAAACAACCAAGATTGCCATTTGCATCAGAAGTTGTTCCAAGAGCAAAACATGCCTTGGGAGTTGTACATTCTGATGTGTGTGGTCCATTTCCAGTAGCATCAATTGGAGGGAATAAATACTTTGTGTTATTTGTTGATGAATTCACAAGAATGACATGGGTATCCCTTATTAAATTCAAACATGAGGTGTTTGATGAATTCAAGAAGTTCAGAATGAAGGCTGAGAATCAGAGTGGTCAGAAGTTGAAGATTCTTAGAACTGATGGTGGAGGTGAGTATAACTCCAAAGAGTTCCAGAAGTTCTGTGAGGAGAATGGAATTGAGCATGAGGTTACTGCTCCTTATACCCCTCAACACAATGGTCTTGCTGAAAGAAGAAACCGTACTTTGCTTGATATGGTGAGAAGCATGCTAAAGGAGAAGAAGCTTCCTCAAAAGCTCTGGGGAGAAGCTGTTGCCACTGCAACGTATGTACTCAACAGATGTCCTACGAAGAAGTTGAAGGAAATAGTTCCTATGCAAAAGTGGACTGGAGACAAGCAAAGTGTTAGTCATCTGAAGGTGTTTGGTTCTGTTTGCTATAAACATGTTCCAGAAGCCAGAAGACAGAAGCTGGATGATAGAAGCAAAGTAATGATTCTGATAGGGTACCACAGTACAGGTGCATACAAGCTCTATTGTCCAGAAACCAACAGAATTGAATTCAGCAGAGATGTGATTGTGAAGGAATCAGAAGTTTGGAATTGGGATAAGTCTCAATCTGATCCTGATGTTAGAACTTCTGAAGAAAAGTCAGAGTTAAGAATTTCTGAAGTTGAAGTAAACTCTGACGTTGATTCTGACTCTGATAGTGATTCTGACTCTGGAGAAGACTCAGAAGATGAAGGTGACTCTGATGATCCAGACTCTGATGGTAATCCAGATTCTGGTGGAAATTCAGACTCTGAAGATGGCCAAGGCTCTGGAGGAAGTCAAGCCTCTGAAGCTAAAAATTCTGAAGTTCAAGACTCTGGAAATATGCCAGATCCTGAAGTTGGTCAAAGCTCTGGAGAAAGTCAATCATCTGAAGCCCAAGACTCTGAACAAGTTCAGAGACCACAAAGAATCAGAAGCGTTCCCAGAAGATTTGCAGAATTTGACATGCTGCAAGACACTGAAGTAGACTCTGAAGGAGAAGTTA